AAAGAACTCACACAACTCAACAACAAAAAATCAAACAACCCGATGAACAAATGGGCAGGAGACATGAACAGACATTTCTCCAAAGAAAATATATGGATGGCCAATAGGCGCACGAAAAGATGTTCATCATTGCTGATCATCAGGAAAACGCAAATCAAAACTACACTAAGATATCACCTTACACCCATTAGAATGACAAAAATAACTAAAACAAATAGTAACAAATGTTGGAGAGGTTGTGGAGAAAAAGAAACTCTCATACACTGCCGGTAGGAATGCAAACTGGTGCAGCCACTGTGGAAAACAGTATGGAGAGTCCTCAAAAAATTAAAAATAGAACTACCATATGACCCAGCTATCCCACTACTGGGTATTTATCCAAAGAGTTTGAAGTCAGCAATTCGAAAAGTCCCATGCACCCCAATGTTCATTGCAGCATTATTTACAACAGCCAAGATGTGGAAGCAACTTAAGTGCCCATCAAAAGATGATTGGATAAAGAAGATGTGGTGTATATATATATAATGGAATACTACTCAGCTGTAAAAAAGAACAAAATCATCCCATTTGCAATAACATGGATGGACCTTGAGGGAATTAGGTTAAGTGAAATAAGCCAGATAGAGAAGGACAATCTCTGTATGACTCCACTCATATGAGGAATTTAAAAATGTAGACAAAGAGAACAGATTGGTGGCTACCAGGGGAACGGTGGGGTGCGGGGTGGGCACAAAGGGTGAAGGGGTGCACCTACAACATGAATGACAAACAATAATGTATAACTGAAATTTCACAAGATTGTAACCTATCATTAACTCAATAAAAATTTTTAAAAAAACAAAAAAAAAAGTGAACATTAAACAACACACTCTTAAATAATCAATGGATCATAGAAGTCACAGGAGAAATTGAAAAATACTTAAAGACAAATGAAAATGAAAACACAACATACCACAAGTTATACACAACACAGTGAAAGCAGCACTAAGGGAGAAACTTAGTTATAAATACTGACATTAAAAAATAAGAAAGATCTCAAATCAACAACCTAACTTTATAGCTTAAGAAACTAGAAAAACAAGAACAAACTAAACCCAAAGCTAGCAGAGGAAACAAAATATTAGAGCAGAGGTAAATTAAATAGAGAATGGAAAAACAACAGAGAAAATTAATGAAACCAAAAGTTGATTCTTTGAAAAGATCAACAAAATTTACAATCCTTTACCTAAAAGGACTAAAAAAAAAAAGAGAGAGAGAAGATTCAAATTACTAAAATCAGAAATGAAAGTGGGGACATTACTACCAACTCTACAGAAATACAAAGGATTATAAGAAAGTACTATGAAAAATTGTACACCAACAAACTGGATAACTGAGATGAAGTGGACAAATTTCTCAAAACACAAAACATATGAAGACTAAGAAAGGAATAGAAAATCTAATTAGACCTATAACTAGTAAGGAGACTGAATCAATAATCAAAAGTCTCCTGACAAAGAAAAGCCCTGGACCTGATGGCTTCATTAGAAAATTCTATCAAACATTTAAGAAGAATTAATACCAATCCTTCTCAAAGTTTTCTAAAAAATTGAAGAGGAGAGAACAGTTCCTAACTCATTCTATGAGGCCAGCATTACCCTTATACCAAAGCCAGATAAAGACACTACAAGAAAAACAACTACAGACCAATAACCCTTAGAAACATCAATGCAAAAATCCTCCACAAAATGCTAGCAAACAGAATTCAGCAGCATATTCAAAGGATTATACACCATGACCAAGTGGGATTTATTCCTGGAATGCAAGGATATATCAACATGCGAAAATTGATCAATGTAATATACCACATTAATAGAATAAGGGGAAAAAAACCACATGATCATCTCAATTGATTCAGAAAAAGCATTTGACAAAATTCAACACTCTTTCATAATAAAAAACACTCAACAAACTAGGAATAGAAGGAAACTATCTTAACATAATAAAAGATATATCTGAAAAACCCACAGCATACATACTCAGTGGTGAAAGACTGAAAGCTTCTCCTTTAAGTCAAGAACAAGGATGCCCACCTTCGACACTTCTATTCAGCTTAGTAGTGTAAATTATAGCCAGAGCAATTAAGCAAGAAAAAGCAATCCAAGTTGAAAAGGAAGAAGTGAAACGATCTCTGTTTGCAGATGATATTATCTTACATGTAGAAAACCCTAAAGATTCCACAAAAAAAACTGTTAGAGCTAATAAATGAATTCAGCTAAGTAGCAGGATACAAAGTCAACACACAAAAATTAGTTGCATTTCTATAGACTAACAACGAACAATCTGAAAAGAAAATTACTAAAACAATTCTAAGAGCAAAATACTTAGGAATTAACCAAGAAAATGAAAGAATTGTACAATGAAAACTACAAAATATTGCTGAAAGAAGGAAGACATAAACGAAAACACATTCCATGTCCATGGATTGGAAGACTTAATATTGTTAAAATGTCAATAATATTCAACGTGATCTACAGATTCAATGCAATCCCTATCAAAATCTCGATGATGTTTTTTTGAAGAACTGGAAAAACTCATCCTAAAATACATATGGAATCTCAAGGGATCCTGAATAGCCAAAACAATCATGAAAAAGAACAAAACTGGAGGACTCACACTCCCTGATTTGAAAACTTACTACAAAGCTACAGTTAGCAAAATAGTGTGGTAGTGGCATCTAGACTGACATATAAATCAATGGAATAGAATGAAGAGCCCAGAAATAAACCCTAACATAGAAGTCAAATGATTTTTGATAAGGATACCAAGACCATTCAATGGGAAAAGGACAGCCTTTTCAACAAATGGTGCTGGGAAAACTGGATAACCACATGCAAAAGAATGTAGCTGGATCTTTACCCAACACCATATGTAAAAGTTAACTCAAAAAGAATCAAGGACCTAAATGTAAGACTTAAAACAATAAAACTCTTAGAAGAAAACACAGGACAAAAGCTTCATGACATTGGATTGGGCAAGGATTTTTTGCATATGGCCCTAAAGGCATAAGCACCAAAAGAAAAAAGAAACAAGGTGGATTTCTTGAAAATTTTAAAATGTTGTGCATCGAAAGACAATATCAACAGAGTATAACAGTAACCCACAGAATGGGAGAAACTACTTGCAAATAATATATCTCATAAGGGATTAATATCCAGAATATATACAGAACTCCTAAAACTCAACAACAACAAACAAAAACAACCCACTTAAAAAATTAGCAAAGGACTTGAATAGACATTTCTCCAAAGAAGATATAAAGATGGCTGCTAAGCACACGAAAACATGCCCAGCATTACCGACAATTAGGCAAAAGCAAAACTACAACAAGTTACCACCTCACACCCATTAGGAAGGCTACTAAAAAAACAAGAGGAAATAACAAGTGTTGGCAAGGATGTGGAGAAATTGGGACCCTGTACACTGTTGGTGGGAATGTAAAATGGTATATCTACTATGGAAAAGAGTATGGCAGTTCCCTCAAAAAGTTAAAAATAGAATTACCATATGATCCAGCAGTTCTATTTCTGGCTATGTACCCAAAGAACAGAAGGCAGGATCTTGAAGAGATATTTGCACACCCATGTTCATAGCAGCATTATTCACACAATAGCCAAAATGTGGAAGCAACCCAAGTGTCCACCAAAAGAGGAATGGATAAGCAAAATGTGGTATAAACATACAATGGATTATTATTCAGCCTTAAAAAGGGAGGAAATCCTGACATATGCTACAACACGGATAACCCTTGAGAACATTATGCTAAGTGAAATAAGCCAGTCACAGAAAGACACTGCATGATTCCGCTTATGTGATACTTGTTGTTGTTAGAGCTGGTAAGTCAATTCTGTCTCCTAGTAACCCTGTGTACAGCAGAGTGGAACCCTGCCCGGTTTTTTTGTGCCATCTTCTCACCTTCCTTCTATATCGGATAATGCTCCACTGCTATTCACAGGGTTTCTGTGGCCAATTCTTTTGGAAGTGGGTGGCCAGGTACTTCTTCCTAATCTGTCTTAGTTGGGAAGCTCCGCTGAAACCTGTCTACCATGGGTGACCTTGCTGGTATTTGAAATACTGGTGGCAGAGCTCTCAGCATCACAGCAACACACAGCCACCACAGTAATGACAACTGACGGACGGGTGGTGGGGTTCCCTGACTGGTAAACAAACCAGGCCACGGTAATGAGAGCATTGAATCTTAATCACCAGACCACTGGGGCTGGCTATCAGGTACTTAAAGAGTAATCAAAATCAGAGGCAGAAAGTAGAATGATGGTTGCCAGGGGCTGGGGAAAGAGGGGAATGGAGGGTTATTGTTCAATGGGTGTACAGTTTTAGTTTTACAATATGAAAAAAGCTATGGAGACGGATGCTGGTGACAGTTGCACAACAATGTGAATGTACTTAATGCCACTAAACTACACATTTAAAATTTATTAAGATGGTAAATTCTGTTATGTTTTGCACAATAAAAAAAATTTTTTAAGCAAATTATGAAGTCAGCTGTAACTTAAAAAAAAGAGGGCTTTGCCAAAAATAGGTCAGAAAGCAGGATTTTCCATACTGAAAAATAGTTTAAAAAGCTGTGAATAACCAACATGTCTGGGTTTTTAAATTATTGAACTGATAAACTTTGATTACCAATTCGCTATAACTTTACACACAAACACTAGGTGTTCTAAAGAAAAATATTTGGAAAAATGATTGTTTCTTTTCTTACATGCTAAAATTGCCTACTTAAGTTAGTCCCTATAATTATGAGCTTTCAAAGTAACAAGCTAGAAGCTTATCCATAACTTTTAAGCCCTAGAGAAAGGAGGGTTGTTTTGTTCTCAAAGGCTGTAAAATAAACTAAAGTTAAAAATCTTGAAATACAAAAGGCTTTTTTACGTTAACATTGTCCTAATGACTGACCAGAGAAGCCAAGTGATAGGTGTTTTATATACTAGAAGAATTTTTACCTGGAAGATTACCCTTTGAGATAGTATCTGTATCCAAATTGTAGGTGTCCTGGAGACGCAACAGAGCTTTGGCTGCCCCAACCTGATCTTCATCGTTAGGAAAGTACTGTCTCTGAATAGTTAGGTTAGAGATAAAGCCTTGAAATGGGAGGGAAGAAAAAAAAAGACTCTAGAAAGTCACAGACTTCCAATTTCCAATACAGTGTCTTTACAAGGATTTTCAAAATTTATTTTATGATAATTTCCCACCATATCATCAAAGTTCCACATGCTCAACAGGAAAAAATTAAATACACTGAATGAGACTTGACACACCTCTAACTTGTTTAATCTTCCCCAATACTTTCTAATGTTGTTTAAGTAATCTGAGGTCACTGCATAAATTAAATCTGTATTAGTAGGTAAAGATCAACTAACATAATGACTGAGTTTTTAGTTACATAATATAGCCTCCACTAAACTTGAAAAATGAACAAATTCATGGATTTGAAAATGACATTCATTGGCAACCAATTATAGTTTCAGATAACAGATGGTAAGTAAAATGTATGCTCTTAAATAAAGTTCTGTCTTCTTCCATGTGCTGCCCATCACATAAATATGTAAATATATAAAGTTTGGTGGAATTCTTTGAAAGGAAAAAAGATATTAATTATTTATTTAAGATCATCAGGTAAACTAGTTTATTAAAATATATTTAGATCTGTTTAATTATTGAATATAGTGTTCATCAATCAAGATTTGCTCTATATAAAACCTAATTTTAATTTTAAAAGGTTTTATATAAAATATAGCAGAAATCAAACTAATTACTGATAACTTTATAACCTCTAAGGAGAATGGATGCTAAATACTCCTTAGGAACCAAAACAACAAAAACAAAAAGTGATTTAAAATTTTAATAATATACATGCCATCACTTGCAAATAAAACAACAAAAAGTGATTTAAAATTTTAATAATATACATGTCATCACTTGCAAATAAAAGTTAAATATGAGACGTGCCACCCCTCTTATTTAATTATAATCAACTATGTAGATTTTGATCAGCAAAAAGCCAGGCATTTTTATGTTAATGGAAATGTATGAATGAACAACTAGCTGGAAGAAGGCTAAAGTTCATATCAAGCATGTTTCTCAGTTTTAAGACCAACTCTCAGTCACAATATCCACGTGGAATTTTACAAGCAAGTTTTACAAGTTTTATAGAAGACTGTGATGCTGCTTAAATCCTCTCTAATAAAAAGAGAAAAAATACATATATTATAGCATTATGGGATGACTATCACAGATTAAAACACCAAAGTCTCAAGGTTTACCTTATAAAAGAACTTAGGTTATACAAGTCATTACCTGAGAATTTAAAATAAATAAATAAATATGTATGTGTGTATATACATGTATATATAAGTATACGTATATACACACACACACCACTTTAAAAACGTTCTCTGTTGTTACAGAGGCAAGCAAACAATCACAGGTATTTCCCTCCTACTGTGAAGAAGTATTCATAAGTGCCTGCCTTAATTTTTCTTTTCAAGGTTTCCTGTCCTATGCCTAATAGTTTACTTTACTGTTCACAAACACTTGTAAGCACCCTTGGAGTATTTCATCTACATAGCTATAGCTACCTTAGTTCTCACCCTCTCTCCCCCCCTTTTTTTTTTTTGCCATTTTGAGTCATTCAGCAAATATGTGAGCCTCTACTGCATACTAAGCATAATTCCAGACTTAGTTTTCAGCGTCTGTTACTAAAATATCTAAAACACCTCAATACTCCAACTACAATTTTATTGTTTCAATTAGAAAGACGTTCATTATTACTGTTCCGAACCTCAGTTTTTAAATGTATTATCTACATCAAGTAACACAATCCTAAGCTTCAGTATACTATGTAGAACACAGCTAACATTTTTCCTTATAGTACCACTCCCAATACATTAAAAATTGATTAGAACATGATTTACCCATAAATTTTTAGTCTGAAAGTAATCCTAAAATGAAACTGATAACCCTAAAAATGAAACTATATGCCAAATAATTGATTCATTTTTTATAGATTTCAAAGCAAACAGCACCAGTGTTAGTCATCAACAGCAGAAATTACTTCCTTTTTTTTACAATACAGCTTTATTTTTATTTCTTTGTTTCCAGTTTTCATTCATCTTATATTTTTTATATCAAGGAATTCAGGATCTAGACTAAATTAACGCTAAATTCACAAATCAAACACAACCCTTCAGTTACAACACTGAACACTTTATGTTCTGGGAAATGAATTTATCACTACTTTTGGCATTTCTATAGGTGGGAGCAATACTGACTTACATTTTTGGGTGCGGGGAGGGGGGAGTTCATTAGTCTTACCATCTGACTTACCATCTGACATATCCTTAAGGACCAGATTCTCTAACTCACTCCACTCAGTATTCAAACGTTTCATTAACTTGAATGCATTTACAGGGTGCCCAACAAATCCTTCTGGATCTTTTGTCGCTGTGCTGGTTAGCCGATCTAACTTCTCTGCCCATCTATATATATAAGACATATGAATGGAGTATACATACACTTAATAAAGAAAAACACAATTTAGTATTCACAAAAAAAGACTAGATTAGAGGTTTCTAAGTTAAAACTATATCTAAAAATTATTTTTAAAGTAAAATTATAAAGTTTTTTTAAACAGCAAAAAGCTCTTATGAATAAAATATAGCTTGGCAGAATCAAAATATAACTATAAGACTTTTCATTTTAGTTTTGTTTCTTCCAAAGGGTTACAGTAAATGGAAGCTTAGTAAAAGCTTCTTAGTAAAAGTTATGACTGGTTCTCTCTAGTAAGAGTCTAAACATTCATTTCCCCACAGGTCCAGAAAGCCAAATAATTGATCATTACAAAGCAGAAATTAGCCCAATCCAAATTCAGTTACATGTTCATTTAAATCAAACTTACACCAAAATTTTACATTCAGTACCCAGAAACTATATCTTAAAACAAAAAATGTTGAATACTTAGCTTCTCATTAAACAAAAGAGAGGAATTCTCAGGTCAGCATTAACCATGAACCTGAATCAATTAAAAATAAACTAGCATTTGAAGAAAAACTCTATCAATTAAATAATACTAACCATACTTATCACTGTAATCTCTAGAATGAACCACAGGAGTGAAAGATAAATAGAACTGAAAAATTGCTCCAGAAGAGGTTAGAGGAAGACATAAAATATTAGCAACCATTTTCAAAAATTGTCAGTCAACAACCCATACCACTTATATATTTTTTTTCCAAAGATCAGCACCCGCACTAACATCTGTTGCCAATCTTTTTTTTTTCTTCTTCTTCTTCTTCTTCTCCCCAAAGACCCCCGATACATAGTTGTATAATCTAGTTGTGAGTGTCTTTAGTTGTGCAATATGGGACGCTACCCGAACATGACCTGATGAGCGGTGCCATGTCCGCGCCCAGGATCCGAACTGGTGAAACCCTGGGCTGCTGAAGCGGAGCGCGGGAACTTAACCACTCGGCCACAGGGCCAGCCCCCCCATACCACTTATATTCTTATCTCAATCCATATTCTTCCATGTGAACTCTCGGCCCAGCTCTAACTCTTATTTTCTGTGTTCCTATTTTAACCATCTCAGCTAGCTTTTTAAGATTGACAGATGGCTTTCATTTCCACTCAGAGAATGTTTTAGCTCTGGAAAGAAAACATCCTGGTGGTGTCAGAGTCATAATAAGTAAAACATTTTGCTTACTTTTTTATTTGTTCTAATTTATCCTCTTCTGCCTTAATATAGTCTTTCAGGGAAGTCACCAGATCTTTCTCAGTATGGATCAAATCAGTCATCTGACCTAGAAAGGAGAAGAAAAGAAGGTTATCAAATACCCGTATTCGTCAACACAAGTATTTTAGAATAGATTAAGAATGATCGAGAATGCTTCATTCTATGAGAGAATTTAACTGGAAGGAATCAGTTCTGTTGCAGAGTGCATCTTCCTCTTTTTTTTTTTTTACCAGATAAATAAAAATAAAGCCAAAAACTTTTCTAATCATGTGTTCCAATTCTAATTGTCAAGTTACTTAATTTTGCAAGCTTGGATGATACTGGCAAGACTGTCTTTTCATCTAAAAGTTTATTTTTAAATTACAAAACAACACTACTTTCCAAGGATCAATGTTTCTTCTTCTCCACCTCCCCCCTCAGCTTTTGTTTTTGAGACTAATTAGAAGTAAATTTTTATTCAATAACAAAAAGTATACTTCACAACTGAAATTCAAATCATCCATTTTAACATATTTATAATGGAATGAGAGGATTTATCATTTTATATCCTGAAATCAGGTGTCATAAATACAATACTTGTGTTTTAGTTAGCTCTACAATCACACGGGTAAAACTGGTCAATTGGATGAAGGAAAACATCTCACTGAAGACAGATGAAGTATGCGTATAGGAAAATATACAAATCAAACCATGAAGAATATTACCGGAGAAAGAGGCTATGTGGATGTTCTATGTACTTCTGTATTCTTCCCCTTTAACCAATATGCTATTTTTGTGATATTTTTAGAGATTTTCAAAAAATTATCATGTACAAAAAATGTGTTCACAGTAGATTCTTAAATAGAAAAAGGTTATGAAATAGTGTGCACTATATTATTTGTGTATCTGTGCATTAAAAAAGACTAAGTATACGCATTAAATTATTTGCTGGGTGGATCCATTAACAGAGAATTTTCTTTGGTACGCTTTTCTAAATTTTCATAAATTTCTAACCTGAAAATGTATTGCTTTTGCTATCAGAAAAAACTAATTTGAAGAGAAACAAAAGTGAATTTTAAAAAGAGACTGATAGGGGGCAGGGACTGAAAATGCTTCAGTCTCTGGGAATACACTGCATTTGTTTTTACTGATTTAAAAATACTAAAAAATGGAAAATTTTCAATACAAAGACAATACAAACCAAAAAGCAGTTAAAACTTACCAATTGAAGTAAAAAAGCCTGGATGGGCCAAAGACTGGGGAAGTAGAATCACTACAATTAAAATATACCCGATCATCTTGGAAGACTTAAGTTTACAGGTTCACACACCTACAAGAGAAATATGAGCATTACAAGAAAAAAAAGGAAGTGTAGGAAAAGTTCCTACCTATTTTTCCTATGAACAAAATGTAAATCAGACTCCAATGTTGCCCACGGAATTCTTGTAAATTGATATAATAATTTAATAAGAGCTACTATCTCATTTTTCATTTCATCACTATTTAAAGAAAAATAGACATGTTTGTTATCACCTGATAATCTATGCTTAAAAAATCAACCTGAGTTTTTCTCCTTAGTTACTACCATAATTAGACTAACTGGATAGTAATACCTCTTTCATATAGCCTGAAAAATAAATTTTATCTGTGATCTAGATCTAAACAATGAATTTCCCATAAAAATATACCAGTTAATTAAAGTAACAATTTAAATATTATCAAAATATATTCTGAAATGTTAGAATAAGCGTTAAAGGGAAAAAAAGCTTTCAAAGCTTTCTGATTAATCCCTTAAATTCCTAACTTGTTCCATCTTTTCTCTATATAGTTTTAAATTTTAAAATAAGTTCAATTAAAAGTTGTAGAGTTGGGGGTGATGAAAATGTTCTAAAATTGACTATGGCGATTGATGGTTGAAGAACTCTGAAAGTACTAAAAACCACTGAATCATGAACATTAAATGAGTGAACTGTATGGCATATGAATTATATCTCAGTAACACTGTTGTTTTTAAAAAGTTGTACAGAGTCCAAAAAGAATAAACAGGCCTGTCGATTTAAGCCAGTAATTTCTCTCAAAAGACCCAGTGTTGAGCTTTCCCTCTTATTTACTGTGTTCTATGTAAAAAATCCTTAGCCCAGTACATAGCTGTGGCATTTTTCTTAAAACCTGGCAGCAAAGCCCTTCTGTCTTTTTTTCTTTGTCCCTAGTAGTGTTGTCTTTTTTAGAAAGGATTCTTCATGGCGGTTACAGATAACTAATGAGCAGAAAGATTTTACCCTGCTTTTCCATATGCCCTGCTAGCACTCTTCTCTTGTTCCTTCTCCACCATGTAAATGGACTTTAAGTCCTTCTTACTATTTTAGAGGAGAATAAGTTACCATTACAGTACCGTTTGCCCCAGTAACAGGCTCCCATTGGTTACTCTGACTTGTCACCCTATTCCTCTTTGTGCAGTCACCTCTGACTCTTCCCAAGTGACTTCACCTAAATCAACAGGTTCAAGTCCATATTGGAAAGCTCCCTATTCTGCAAAAAACAACAACAACAACAACAAAAAACCCACTTTCCCCTAACTTGAATTTCAATAAAAATAGATCATCACAGAAACTGACATCCTGGAAGTACTCCTAAGTCTCCTCCCTCAAGTTTGCTGCAAACTTCCAGATACTTCCAGAACTCCACAGCAGTGAAAATACACTGCTCTCTTGGCTGCTTTACAGTAACTCTTTGGGAAGGCTTCTAGGATGTAGCAGATGCAGACACTTCCTCCCCTGGGCTCCTGCCAAAGCACAAGGCTTTTTCAAAATCCTGGGCTGCCTAAAGAGTCTAGAATCTTCTCACTGTTTAAGCAGATTTCTGTCATAATTTTCTTCATGAATAAACGTTATTCCCAGAAAATAAAAATACTTTTGCTATACTAACAGAAGGTTAATCAGAAATGTTGTCTAAATATTTAACTCTGATGAGAAAGTTTAGATTTGTCAGATAAGAGGTTATCATTTTTCCATTGCTAAAATATATTGTCACTAAAGTTTCTTTGTCATCTTTCATCATCCTTAAACCTCACAAGGAGTCAAGAACCATTAGCATACAGAAATTACTACAAAGAAGCTTGAAAACTGCATTTTAAGAATGACAGAGCTTCGGGCTGGCCCAGTGGTGCAGCAGTAAAGTTCGCATGTTCCACTTCTCAGCAGCCTGGGGTTCGCCGGATCGGATCCCAGGTGCGGACATGGCACCGCTTGGCACACCATGCTGTGACAGGCATCCCACATATAAAGTAGAGGAAGATGGGCATAGATGTTAGCTCTTCCTCAGCAAAAAGAGGACTGGTAGCCGATGTTATCTCAGGGCTAAACTTTCCCCCAAAAAAATAAAAGAATGAAAGAACTTATGTAAAAGTTCAAAGCACTAATCACATGAAGAATAAATATACCTTCACCTTATATCACGCTGCAAAATAAATTCTAGATGGATTAAAGAGTTACAATCAACAAAAAATAAAATACCAACAGAACAGTTATTGGATCCCTGAAAGGAGAAAAGAATTTCTGAACTTAAAAATGATAAAACAAATAACCTATCAAAAGTCAGATGAATTTCAAGACCAGCCTAGCAGCGCAGTGGTTAAGTTTGCATGCTCTGCTTCAGTGGCCCAGGGTTTGCCGGGTATGGACCTATGCACCACTTATCAAGCCATGCTGGGGCAGGCATCCCACATATAAAGTAGAGGAAGATGGGCACCGATGTTAGCTTAGTGCCTATCTTCCTCAGCAAAAGAAGGAGGATTGGCAGCGGATACTAGCTTAGGGCTAATCTTCCTCAAAAAAAAAGGGGCCAGCCCCATGGCCGAGTGGTTGGGTTTGTGTGCTCTGCTTTGGCACCCTGGGGTTTTGCCAGTTCGAGTCCTGGGCGCGAACATGGCACTGCTCCTTGAGCCATGCTGAGGCAGCATCCCACATGCCACAACTAGAGGGACCCACAACTGAAAATACACAACCATGTACCCGGGAGGGCTTTGGGAGAAAAAGGAAAAATAAAACATTAAAAAAAAAAGTCAGATGAATTTAAATACACAAAATAATTTAGGTTTATATATTTTTTAAAAACCTATAAACTACAAACTAGTAAAGTAAAGTAAATAGAACTCATTTAAGGAACTCATAAAAATCAGTAAGAAAACCACTAAGATGTTAACAGATAAGTGGAGTAAGTGCGCAGAAAGTCACAAAAGAGAAACTATAGTTAAATAAAAAAAAAAGTTCACTCATTAGTAATTAAGGACACAGAAAATTGACATAAGATAGCCATTTTTTGCCCATCAAGTGAACAATTAAACAAATTTAACAAATTAACAATTAAAAATATCTAATGATGGTGCTATATATCAAGTAACTTAAAATGAACATATCCTTTAAGTTGTGAATTTAAATGAAAAAACAAGATTTAAAAATTAACATCAACTCTCATTCATTGCTGGTGGGAATACAAACTAGTACAGCCACTTTGGAAGACAGTTTGGCAGTTCTTTAAAAAATTAAACATATTCTTACCATATGATCCAGCAATCGTGCTCCTTGGTATTTATCCAAAGGAGCTGAAAACTTATGTCTACACAAAAACCTGCACATGAATATTATAGCAGCTTTATATTCATAATTGCCAAAACTTGGAAGCAACCAAGATGTCCATCAGTAGGTGAACGGGTAAATAAACTACGGTACATCCAGACAACGGAACATTATTCAATGCTAAAAGAAATGAGCTATCAAGCCATAAAAGACATGAAGGAACCTTAAATGTGTATTACTAAGTGAAAGAAGCAAATCTGAAAAAGCTATATATATTGTATGATTCCAACTATACGACATTCTGGAAAAGGCAAACTATAAAGATAGTAAAAAAGATCAGGTGGAGCACAGAAGAATTTTAGGGCAGTGAAAATGCTCTGTATGAGGGGCCGGCCCTGTGGCGCAGCGGTTAAGTTTGCACGTTCCGCTTCTCGGCGGCCCGGAGTTCGCTGGTTCGGATCCCGGGTGCGGACATGGCGCTGCTTGGCAGCCATGCTGTGGTAGGCGTCCCACGTATAAACTAGAGGAAGATGGGCACGGATGTTAGCTCAGAGCCAGGCTTCCTCAGCAAAAAGAGGAGGACTGGCAGTAGTTAGCTGAGGGCTAATCTTCCTCCAAAAAAAAAACAAAAAAGAAAAAAAGAATTGTTTATTAAAAAAAAAAAAGAAAATGCTCTGTATGAGATCACAATGATAAATACATGTCATTATTCATTCGTCCAAACCTATAGAATATACAACACTGAGAGTAGAATATACAACACCAAGAGTGAATGTATAATGTAAGGTATGGACTTTATGACATGTCACGGTAGATTCATCAACTTAATAAATGTACCACTCTGGTGGAGGATGTTGTATGCGTGTGTGGGGGCAGGGATTACATGGGAAACTTCTGTAAACCTAAAACTGCCCTAAAAAAATAGTCTTAAAAAAAATATACTAGAATCATACAACATTGGTGGAATCTGTGTTGGGTAAGATTAAGTTTATACTACTCTGACAGAAAGTTATTAATGAATACTTATCAAAACAAAGAAAAAAATTAACACCATAATATGATCATAACTATGCAAGAAAATATGTAGAGGAAATTCACCAAAATGTAGTTGTCTCTGGACACCAGAACATTAGGTGATTTTTATCTATTTCTCCATATTTTCCAGATGCCCTAGCATAAATATAATTTAATAGTCACAAAAAATTAACTCTATACAAAATAATAAACCTAAACCAACAGATGCCATATTAAGCCTTTAATGAAGTGGTTAACCACTCTCTAATACAAAAAAGTAGCTAACAAATGCTATACACATTTGAGCATGTTCCATTTTCTAACTCTATAAAGCCTCCAAATTTCTCTCTCTGCTTCAAAGATAGTCAAGCTTATTTGAAAACAACCCAGATATCTAGTAGTGAACCACACTGTCAGAGTAGCACACTTTTCTATTCTCCTTCCTCCCAGAGATAGACATATGACCCGGGCTAAGGCCTCATTCCCACGAACGCAATAGTTAAGGGGTGGGCTTGTGAAATGGTAAAAAGCAGGTCTTTCTGAAATTGCTAAGCTCAGAGGATGTGAATTTAGAGCTGCCTGTGACCATCTTTCTCACTTGTTAAGGATATATAGGAACCCCATCTATAAACAGGACAAAGTCACACAGACAAGCAGTTCCAACCTCCATGGCCTTGATTCTTCCAATTATTATTTACTTACTTACTTACTTATTTATTTATTTGAATCTGTCAGCTACCCC